GGGTCCCATTGCCGTGATGACGTCACACATGGGGCACCCCCTTTGCAGTGGCAAAAACATGTGCGTGTGCGCGCACACATGCGCGCGCGCGCTCTCTCTCTCGTTCTCTGAGGATGAAGCCAGGCCTCTATTTCCAACTACGGTCTCTCCCCATCCCTCTCCCAGCCTCTCTCCATCCCACCCCCCACCCCCACCTCCTCACCTACCTTCCCATCATCCCCTGGAGTTCCGGCAGTCAGAACGACCTGTCTTGACATCTCTTTCACTGAGCACCTTGCTAAAAGCAAGCTCCTCGTCCGCCACCCCCTCACTGTAGAGCAGCGGTTCTCAACCTACGGGTTGCGACCCCTGGGGGGGGGGTGTCGAACGACCTTTTCACAGGGGTCGCCTAATACATCCTGCAGATCAGATATTTACATGACGATTCATAACAATCGCAAAATGACAGTTATGAAGTAGTAACGAAAATAATGTTATGGTTGGGGTTCACAGCCTTCCATGGCTCCTGAATGTCCTGTTTCATTCTCTCTCCTACTCCCCAGAATAACCTCATCGCCAAGGTGCCCCGGGGAGCCCTCAGCCGCCAGACTCAGCTCCGGGAGCTCTACCTCCAGCACAACCGGCTGACCGACAGTGGCCTGGATGCCACCACCTTCAGGTGGGGCCTGGGATTGGGGTGGGACAAGGGTCCAGAGTGCAATCGCCCTCCCAGAGTGACTCCTGACCCAGACTCACTCAGTGAGCCTGTGCTGTGGCGGGCTGCTCAGTGCTCTGTGCACTGTGCTCCTTGTCCCCAGCCACTCTGTGACAGGCTGGTCACAGCGACCACTTGGAGAGGCTCAGCTCTCTCTCCGGCCCAGAGCACGTCCGGGTCAGAATCTGCCCTGCTGGTCTCCAGTTTGGATGTCTCAGGACCACACCTGCCTGATGCCCGGCCCTCTCTCCCAGCAGCAAGCTGCGCAGCCTTGAGTACCTGGACCTGTCCCACAATCAGCTGGTTGAGGTGCCCGCTGGCCTGCCCCGGACCCTGGCCGTCCTGCACCTGGGCCGGAACCGCATCCGGCGGGTGGAGGAGACCCGGCTGCAGGGAGCACAGGGCCTGCGCTACCTGCTGCTGCAGCACAACCAGCTGGGGGGCACGGGGCTGGCCCCCGGTGCACTGCGGCCCCTGCGGCGCCTGCACACACTGCACCTGTATGGGAACGGGCTGGACCGTGTGCCCCAGGCGCTGCCGCGCCGCCTTCGAGCCCTGGTGCTGCCCCACAACCAAGTGGCCATGCTGGGCGCCCGAGACCTGGCCGCCATGCGGCGTCTGGTTGAACTCAACTTGGCCTACAACCGGCTGGCCAGTGCCCGCATCCACCGCCGGGCCTTCCGCCGGCTGCGTGCCCTGCGCAGTCTGGACCTGGCCGGCAACGAGCTGACACGGCTGCCCACTGGCCTGCCCTCCAGCCTCCTGGCCCTGCGGCTGCCTCGCAATCAGCTGCGGGCCCTGGAGCCCCAGCCACTCGCTGGCCTGGTCCAGCTGCAGGAGCTCAGCCTGGCCTACAATCGGCTCCGGGTTGGTGACATTGACCTCGGCACCTGGCACGGGCTGCAGGCCCTCAAGGTCAGGGCGGCGGTGGGAACGCGGCAGGCGGCCCCTCCATCTTGCCCAGAACCTGCTGTTCCAAAGTGTCACGTTGCCCAAGGGGTGCCCACCTGGGGGGAATGAGGCCACCCTGCCTCGAGGCCTTCACCCATGCCGTCCCTGGCACCTGGTCCCAGAAAAAGCCCCCCACTACCCCCACGGTGGACGTGGCTCTCTAGCTGCTTCTGACCAAACGGTGGTCAAACGCTAGAGAATTCCAGAGCCTGTTGTTAGGATGACCATCCAGGGGCGGCAGGCTGTGTCCCCAAACGGGGGCGGGGCCTAGACCCAGGAGGTTAGGAGAAAGGGGACACAGCTGGGGCTATCCACAGGGAAGGCCCAGGAGGAGGCTGAGGCTACCACGTGCCACCTCGCCTGCCCGCCAGGTGCTGGACCTCAGCCACAACGAGCTGTCCTTCGTGCCCCCGGATCTGCCCGAGGCCCTGGAGGAGCTGCACCTGCAGGGCAACCGCATCGGCCACGTGGGTCCCCAGGCCTTCGCCAGCACGCCCCACCTGCGTGCCCTCTTCCTCAGGTGCCCGGGTGGCCTGCAGGGTCGGGGGGCGTCTGCACTGTCGTCAGGAGTCAGAGGCTGTGCCACGCCCCGGCCTCACGAGACCCACCTCCCCATGCAGGGCCAACAGGCTTCACGTGACAAGCATCGCGCCCGAAGCCTTTCTGGGGCTCCCGCTTCTGCGCGTGGTGGACACCTCGGACAACCCGGAGCAGGTCCTCGTCCGGCTGCACCCCACGGCCACACGCCGACCGCGGGCAGGCGGCCCCTGAGACCGGGCCCACCTGGGACTTCGGGGAGTGGGCTCAGCCTCAGTGGGGAGCAAGTGCCCCTCCCCACACACTGAGCCAGGGTGGGTGTTTGCCCTGTCCCCCC